AATGTATACTGATAGTAGACCGGGGAAAACCGCTGACTCAAACCGGCCAAAGACCCGCTTAAGAAAACCGACATTTATTTTCTGACTTTAAGGTTCCCGTGCACCAATTTCGCATATCTATCTGCTTGAAATGTGCAGTGATAAATGTGCTACATACTGAAATCTTTCCAATTTGTTTTGAGCCATGCCAAATAATAAATATTGAAAATGTGTGTACTGTCCAACCCACGTGCACTTACGGTATATTCTTCTTTCGATGTGACCATCCTCCCCTCGACGAAGACCAATGTCCATAAATGTAAAAACGTTGTCCTTTTCTACCTCCATTGTAAATCGTCTACCCGGATGAGCGTGATTGAATACTTCAAGGAGCTTATTAATGTCCCTTCCGGAGTCACAAATTGTGAACGCATCGTCCATATATCTAGTGTATAGGTCAAGACTATCAATTGTGTTCCTCATAGGTCCGTCCTCGAGCTTGGCTAAAATATATATCTGCCAGGAGTGGGCCAAGCGGTGATCCCATCGCTACACCATCCTTCTGTCGATAGTACTTTTGATTGTACAAAAACTGTACGTNCCACGTGCACTTACGGTATATTCTTCTTTCGATGTGACCATCCTCCCCTCGACGAAGACCAATGTCCATAAATGTAAAAACGTTGTCCTTTTCTACCTCCATTGTAAATCGTCTACCCGGATGAGCGTGATTGAATACTTCAAGGAGCTTATTAATGTCCCTTCCGGAGTCACAAATTGTGAACGCATCGTCCATATATCTAGTGTATAGGTCAAGACTATCAATTGTGTTCCTCATAGGTCCGTCCTCGAGCTTGGCTAAAATATATATCTGCCAGGAGTGGGCCAAGCGGTGATCCCATCGCTACACCATCCTTCTGTCGATAGTACTTTTGATTGTACAAAAACTGTACGTTCCATGTACATCTCAGTATGAGTTCTTTAAGTTTCGTCACGGGAATTTCGATCTGGATATTATTTTGAATGATGTATTGACAAGCATAGCCTGACGTGTCCAGTAGTGGGTTATTTGTGAACAAGGATTCGACTTCAAGGGAGATCATGGTCTTGTGTGACACGTCTTCATTCCTGATACGATCAACAAATGCGAAAGAATCTTTTATGTTATATCTGGCTAGAGATTTGTGCACAGGATCTAAAATTTGTACAATCCATTGTGCTATGGCGTGGTAGTCTGAATTGCTCATGTCCATCACTGGTCTTAGTGGCACATTTGGCTTGTGAATTTTCGGCATTCCATAAAGTCTCGGTGGTTGAGATCCACATGGAATGAGTTTGTCAGATGTTGCCTTGCAAATGTAATTTGTAGCCCTAAGTTACTTCAATATCTCCGTTAGTTTTCTTTCTCATTCATGCGTTTTATCCTTTTCTTTGGCATCGTGATTGAATTTGCTACCATCGGCAAGTATTGTCTTCGGCTTATCATCATATTCAAATCGGTCCAATACCACCCATCCTGCACCTTTATCTGGTCTTGGAAGAATAACATTCCGATTTTTGGTCAATTCTTTAATTGCGTTTCTATGCTGCCTCGTTATTAACCCTTTTTCTTGGATTTTCGTTTCTTGATACTGCTGGCAATAATGAATCAATGACGATTTTAGGTTTTCTACACTAGTCTCTGATAGAGATGTGAGGTCACGAAATTGGCTCATCAAATTCCCGAACTGTGTCTCGATTTCTACTCGATTATCGTAAAAATGCGGCGTGCAAAACTTAGGTCCGAGAGACAATCCCTCAATATGTAACTTACTGAGTTCAACGGATGAATAATTGTGCACGTACATTTCATGATGTAACCAAACTTTCTGGTGCATAACATTTTCAAAATTTTTGCACAAATTTCAAATACCACACTCGAATATCCTAGCTGATTACGCCCATACCTCTGCACGTAAAATCATCGAATTCTTTACAAAAGACAAGTAACATAAATTTGTAGCCGTAATATCTGATTCAGACGAACGTGGACAATGAGTAACTTACTATCGCTGATGCGACGTCTAAGCTATATGATGAGATAAAACGAACGCATCGGAATTTCTCTGATCATTTTACTGAAACAATGGTTTCGCAGACACTCACTGATGAAATTCACGGTAGCCTTCACTTCTGCGAACCTGACGTTGAACCCAAGTATTTGTTGTGGTCTTTAAACGCCATAGGATGATCGCTTTTTTCAAATCGCACAACATTCCCATACACGCATAAGAACAAAGTCGAAACGCGAAGAAATTTCTCTTCGATATCTTGCTTCAGGCACTTACATATAGAGTTCGATTAGTCAGTAGATTAATACAAGGCCTAGGCTGATGTTGATTGAATGTCTGTGTGTGCAAAGTTTTCTGTTGACAACAAGCTGTGGGATGTCTATAATTGGATTGGAAAAAGTGGAATGAAAAATGTATGAACTGGAGAGAAAATGAAATGTGTTAGTCCAGAGTGAATAAAACAGGTGTGAACGTTTGCGAAAAAGACAGTGAATGGGGAGTGGGGGTGGGGGGGAGGAGAGGAACGGGAGGGAGAGGATAGGTGTCACATAGAGATATGGGTAAATATTATCATGGCCATGGTAACATCAGAGCCTGAACCAGATTACGTTGCTTGCACAAGTCCGGCTTCATGATCCTAATTGCTATGGCTTCCGCAGTTGTCGGGATCTTTCTACGTGATCCTTTGGCGTGGTTCTTAGGTGCAGTGAAGAAGCTGGTAAGTGATGTTTCTGGGTCAATCCCGTGTCCACTGTCGACCAAATGTTGCAGGATTGAGCTGTTCAGGCTTCTCACTGTTCCTTTCCGAAGGGTGGCCGAACAATGTTCAGATATTCTCTTAGACAAACGCCTCGCTGTGTGTCCGATATAACGATCACTGCAAGTGCACGTGAACTGATATAGAATGAAGGATTGGGACTGATGGGGCAGTTTATCTTTAAGTTGTTGAACAATGATGAGCTTAGTCCTGGATGAGAGTCTTAAATGCGCCGCGGGAAAATATTTGGAAGTGGCTGTGGATAACCGATATTCCACGATTTTCAATTCCTTGTCTTCTTTGAAGGGAAGGTTGGCAAACACCTTCTTTCTTGCCAATTGTACTTTTGCATCGGTTGGTTTCGATTCCATATGTCGTCGAACAAACGCCTCTGGGTATCCGTTCTTCTTGAGGATCTCTTTTATATAGGTCAACTCTTCGATCAGAATCTCCGGACTACAAATTCTATTTACCCTGTATGCTAAACAGTTCACTAAATTCCGTTCGTATCTCAGTGAGACAAAACTTTCAAAATGTGTACTGTCCAATCCACGTGCACTTACGGTATATTCTTCTTTCGATGTGACCATCCTCCCCTCGACGAAGACCAATGTCCATAAATGTAAAAACGTTGTCCTTTTATACCTCCATTGTAAATCGTCTACCCGGATGAGCGTGATTGAATACTTCAAGGAGCTTATTAATAATATTATTGATATAATTAATATAATATTAATAAATAATGAGCCAAAAAGCGAATAATGAATAAGCCGAGGCAATGAGTGTGGCAAATATTCCCCATACTATGATTGAACGATTGGATCGTTTTTTACAGAATGAATGTGACCGAAGACAGTTCAAACTGCTGTGGAGTAGTTTGTTGGGACGGAAATTTATCGTCGTGATTGCAGTTACTTCT